AGTTATTTGTAATGATGCAGCCTTAACAATCCATCAGGGCCGCCGAGCGCTTGGCAGGGGCCCCTATTCCAGCGACTTTACCTCAATTTTTCGTAACAAATGTCGGTACTTTGCCCAAAAAAAACAAATATCTTGCCCTTTGCACGGAAATATTTCACCCAAAAAAATTACTGGCGCCCAACAAGGGCTCTATCTATCTATTGTCACAGTAACTGATATATTATTTTTCTGATATTTTCTCAGGAGAAATGATAAGTCAGAAAGATAAATGTACAACATGTCAGGGAAAGAAAACAGTTAAAGAAAATAAAGTATTAGAGGTCAGTGAAGATTTGCCTCCAAACAATTTTGCTCTTAATAGGATGAAGCCCTCTCTCCCCCGCCCCCAGGATATCCAATGTTCCCCTCCTAAGAAAGTTCAATGTATAAATTCTTGAATGTGATCTTGAACAGGTTTATGTGGATAAAGGAATGAGGGATCATCAAAAAATAACTTTTGATGGAGAAGGAGATCAAGAGGTGAGACAATAAAATGTACATTTTTAACCCACTCATTGCCAGCACTCTCCCCTTGATGAGTAAAATGGTCTGGTGTTAGACAGAGTAAAGTAATAAATGTTAGGATTACATCTATTTCCCCGCGATACAAAGAGTGTAAAACACATCAACAAAGGTTATATTATAAGACAATGAGTTAACAATAGATCACGAGGACATACCACGTGACTTCACAACATGCATATATTAGCATATGTAAACACATATAATTATATTCTTATCACTCCCACTTAATTATTGGGTTTTTATGTTTGTTGTCCAAATGCAACCTAATGAAATGTCAACAAAACTTAATTGTTAGTTAAAAGTATTAAAATGAACAAACGTTCATTAAGCTCCTCAGTTTCTCGAATCTTTCTCTTGGCAAAGCCTTCGTCATGATATCAGCAAGCATATCATGGGTAGAACAATATTCAACTTTGATTTCTCTCGATTCTATTCTTTCACGTATAAAATAGAAAGTTATGTCTATGTGTTTTGTTCTATTGTGAAACTTCGGATTTTTGGCAATTTCTATCGCTCCCTGGTTATCTTCTTTGATTAAGGTGGGACCATCAGTATTACAACCAAGACCGGACAACAATCTACGCAGCCAAACCGCTTCCTGACAGGCCTGACTCAATGCAACAAATTCTGCTTCCGTTGTAGATTTTGCAACAGTCGATTGTTTCTTACTGCTCCAACTTATAGTAGCATCAGCAACTTTGAAAATGTATCCGCTGATTGATCGACGTGTGTCCACATCACCAGCCCAGTTGGCATCAGCATAGCCATGTAGATCACATTCGTTCTTGTTTGCAACAAACTTCAAACCGTATGTCAAAGTTCCTTTGATATACCGCAGCAAACGCTTAATACCTAACCAGTGGTCTTTGCTTGGATTCGACATATACTGTGAGAGTAATCCCACAGCAGCAGCAATGTCTGGTCTTGTTGAAGTTGAAACGTATGTTAAACAACCAATTGCTTGCTGGTAGGTTTCCTTGTTACACGGTTCTTCATCATCGGCTCGTTTCTGGAA